GCGTGGCCTGTATGGATTAAGGCCTGGAAAATGTCCTGATTTAATTCCTTTTTCATGGCAGACTGGACAAATTCTCTGGCCTGACTGAAATGCAGAGTCTCATCAGACTCTATCAGCTCCTGAATACAGCCTGCAACAATCCCCTTAAACCAAAATCCATCAAACTCACAAATTCCTTGCTTCCCTTGCACCATTCCCATCAAGCTAATCTCTTAGTAGATCTATACAATACATAAGTAAATACATAAATAAAACAAATAAATACATAAATTATATAAAAAGGTGTTCTTCACTCAGGCCGTGTCCAGACTCAGGGGTTTTTTCGGGAAAAGTAGCCTTTTCCCGAAAAAACTTCCCCTGCGTCCAGACTCAAGCCGCGTTCTTTCGAAATTATTTCGAAAGAACGCGGCTTTTCTTTCGATGGCGGTAAACCTCAATTTACGAGGAAGAACGCCTTCTTTCGAAAGTTCCTCTTTCGAAAGAAGGCGTTCTTCAATGTAAATAGGCCGTCTTCGAAAGAGAGCATCCAGACTCGCTGGGTGCTCTCTTTCGAAAAAGCGGATTTCTCTTTTGAAAGATCCGCCTGCAGTCTAGACGCGATCTTTCGAAAGAGGCTCTTTCGAAAGATGCTTTCGAAAGAGCCTCTTTCGAAAGAAGCCTGCAGTCTAGACATAGCCTCAGGTTGACTGAGGTTAAAATAGCAGTGAAGACATGGAAACTCTGTTTGTAACTTGAGTTGGCAACTTGAATTCAACCCCAAACTACCCCACAGACCTTAACTTGGTTTAGCTAAAGCAAGTTAACACACTTTTTTTGCTGTGTAGACATACATTTGGACACACTCAAAGCTCCCACTCTCTCATGCACTCCCTCACAGTCAAAACTCCATAAGATTCTCAAAGACTCTATTCTCCCTTTGAACCAGAGAAGCTAGAATACTTGTTTATTTTCTTTTTTTATTCTTGTACAGTATTATGGTTTTTTTTGGGGGGGGGGGGGGGCTTCTCTATGTAATTAGGAAAAAAATAGAACCACCATTCCTAGCACTAGAAATATTCCAGGATACAGTGAGCTCCTGTCACTGTTTCCCCGGCTCCCAGTACTGGGACAATTTTGTACAGGTTCCCAATTTAGAGATTTTTTTCTGAGCTTGTTGACCTGTTCACATACTTAAACAAATAATTTAGCTATTCCAAGGTAGAACCATAGAACTGGAAGAAACCTCAGGAGGTCGTTGAGTCCAGCCCCCTGCCCAAAACAGGACCAGACCCAACTAAATCAACCCAGCCAGGGCTTTGTCAAGCTGAGACTTAAAAACCTCTAGGGATGGAGATTCCACCACCTCCCTAGGTAACCCATTCCAGTGCTTCACCACCCTCCTGCTGAAA